ACTCTTATATTTCAAGAAGAAAACCCAAACTTTTCTAGAAAAAATCATTAATTATTCTCAACTAATAATATACACCTCTTTTAGAAGGCACTCTCGTTGGGTCCCATAGATAAAAATGGATATAATCAAGTGTTCCCTTCGTATTGTGACTCCTAGAGATCAAAATGGATATATGTTAAAATATTGTACTCAAAGAACTTCAACTTGCAAGTACTTTGCCCATCAAAAAGTCATTTTCTGCTCAATTCAGCATCACATTTTCACTCATATGCCCAAACCGCATATGAGGTTTAGTAACTTCTTCATCTGACAAGAAAGAAATGGTGACAACTGCATTTCATGTAACTTAGATCCCTACAATACATATAATCGAGCTAAGATTCTCTTTCTTTTCATCACAATAAGAGCACATTTGCTCACATTTAGAACTCTACTTTCACTAGTGTACTTGTACCCCTCTTTTGAATTAAGGGTACTTAAGGATATGAGATTCATCTTCAGATCTAGTACATGCCTTACATCACAAAGTGTCCTGATAGCCCCGTTAAACATCTTAATCGTGACTAATTCAATTCCAACTATTTTACAAGGTGCATTATTTTTCATAATCATAAAACCTCTCTAAACTATTTCATATGTTGTAAACTAGTCCCTTTTGGGACACATATGAAATGTACAAGTTGAATGAACAACCCAATTTTCACAAAACTTGGAATCACCATCATAAATTACCAGAAGTTTTCCTTTACTTTAGCCATCTTCTACAACACGGCTTCCCCTGTATTCTCAATAGGGTTTGACAAAACTCTCGAACTGAATCGAACAGCACCCGAACCGAATCGAGCGATTTTTCATAAGTTAAATACCCGAATGGGCAACTGAATCAAGAATCGACAGGGTGGTTCTGTTCTCAGTTCTAGAACAGTAACCGAAGAGTCGAATATTAATCGAATCTTCACAATTTTTTTAATTTTTTATCTTAAATAAGTCAAATTATTTTATTTTTTTAAAATAAATTTGCTAACTAATTAATTTAACACAAACCCAAATTATGATTTTCTCGTTTCTAATTTCTAGATCAAGCCCAAGTTATTCAAATTGACTTCAGTTTTACACAAATCTGTTATTCTATCCTAGTATCATTTCTACTATTCTGGAGAAATCGAATTGGAAGCTTGGTTGCGCTTCTCTTCATTATTGTGAACTCGCTACCTTTCTTTTTCTATAATTCTAATAATCAAAACTATAAAAAAACAAATAGAGGAACAAAAGATATCATGAGATTGAACTATCGTTATTTTGTAAGAGTAAAAATTGAAAATGTCATTAGTTAAATTAATGTAGAATTATTGTAAATATTAAAAAAATTAATTATTGAACGAGACTTAAGAACATAACCAAATAGAACCAAACCCGAACTGTTCCATAATTAAATTTGGACCCGACAGTTTCACTTACTAAATACCTAAATATTCGGATTCAATTCGGTTTTCTTCACAACCTAACTGGGCTTTGTCCAACACTAATCCTCAGGTTGTCTTCACTTCTCTTTAACAACAACTATTCTATTTCTATTCTGCAATTTGTAGTATTCAGTTCTAATGTGTCCATTCATTTTGCAAAAGTGACATGGTCTCTATATTTAGACTTCGACATGCCCCTTAATTACCACCAAGAATCCTATTTTGAGTTCTCCCTTAGGCAACTAGGCCTTCTGCCTTGCCCTGTGATTCAATCACAATATGCTTTATCGTCTACTTTGATAGTAAATCATTATAGACCACATCAATTGTGAAAGTATCAAGACTATAGAGAATAGTATCTCTAAAAGTCGTACATGACGACGGGAGTGAGCACAACAAAATCAATCCAAGATCATTCTTGTCATATTTAACCTCCATAATCTCAAGATCAACTACAATTTCTTTAAAAATGATCAAGTGATCCTCAATAGATGTACATTTAGACATGCGTGAGAATACAAACACAACTTCATGTGCATCTTATTGGTCACACTCTTTGTCATGCAAAACTGCTCTAGTTTCAACACAACGTAGCGACATTTTTCTCCTTAAGAACATCTCGAAGAATTTGATTTGAAAAATGAAAATGAATTTGTAATAGGGTCTTTCTATATATCCCTACGGTGCTTTTCCTCCTACGTCCAAGTAGAAAGCATTTTATTAAACCTTAATACGACATCATCCAAATCCATTTGTAGGAGCATGGCTTGCATCTTCACCAGCCATAGAAAAAATGTCATTTTACGATCCAAAAGCGGATATCGTATTTCATTATTTCCATCACGAAAGATTAATCTGGCTCTAATATCAATTTATTAGAAAATAACGAGATAATATGGCATATGAAAATCAACCAAAACACAAGAACACAAAATTTTATGTGAAAATCCAAGACGAGAAAAAATCACAGGCAAAGAAGAAGAATTCATTAGATCAAAATATGGATTATTTTTACAAAATTTGATGTTGTCAATCAAAATCTAATGTTTTCTAATAATATGAAGAGCCAAGGAATATATATAGAACCCTAATTATAGTGTTTTAGATAAAATGAAAACTTTAAAATTCGCCAAATCGTGAAATAGGCCTTGGCAGAATAACACTGACGCTCGAGCACAGCAAGCATAGAGCTCATATGTCTCATCCATGCTCAAGTTTAATTCTCTCTTTTTTATTGGCGCTCAGAATCCATCTTTTGACTTCTTCACGGGCATCTTCGACCAATCCATCAATACTGAAAGGAATTTTGGTCGCACTTCAACATTTCTCTTAAATTTAAACACGACATCCGTTAAATGCAAAAGTTAAGGGTTTGAACACCTTCTATTAGTAAGGTTGATATTTTAAGATGTAATTCTAAAACTCATTATGGTATTAGTGTGCATTATGTTCAAACTAGCAATCGATCCGTCTAAAATCCTATTTCGATTACATATGAAAACATATCTAATTGTTTTATCTATCCTATAAGAAAGAACTATTTTTTGACATTTTAAAATGAACTCCAATGCCCAATTGGCCAATAGAGATTATGGTGCTCAAATTAGTCATTCGATCTGTCTAGAAGATTAAACGAGCAATCGAAATTCGAAATTAATATTCTTAAAGGAGCAACTATTTATAAACGTTTTGTTCTTGTTTGAATTGCATTGTAAGTTACCGACATTAAAATAATGCGATATATTAGAATGGTGGATAGGTATATGGTAATTGTAGTTTTAACGGTATTAATTAAAGCTTAATATTGATCTTTAAATTATAATGTAATTATAATGCAATGCAATCCAATCCAACCAAACACATAGGAGAAAAAAAGTCATTACAGTTAATTAATATGATGTGACATAATGCTCGTTTGATATGATTTTTGAAAAGTCAAAATCAACTATCAATTTTGCCATTTGTGACCGGTAGAAAAACACGGTCCATTTCGTGCTATCAGTCACCTACCCTATTCCATGCTGTGCGAACATATGAACTCCTGCACACACCATCAAAGATACTGCTCGTGTCAATACCATGCCCTTATTTGATAAGAATTAAAATACAGATTTTAATTTAATTTAAAGTTAATAATTAATTTTAATTACATATTTTATTAAAATCAACAACTTTCAACTACACACTTCATCAATATTTATCAAAATTTGATTTTAATCCACACCAAACAGGGGCTATAGTTTAATAATTCTCCATTTAACAAATTTATAAAGAGGAATAGTAAGAAGATAGTAATGAATTTCACAAAACGTATGAATAATAATTAATTGTTATAAATGTGTAATTGAAATTAAAGTTTGACTTTAACTAAATTTATGACCAGGGAAAACTAAATAAATATTTTTTAATAGTTCACACTTTTAGATGGGATAAAGAACAAAACTTGACTATAAATTTGCCCATTATTCATTTATGAAAATTCATAAATCCTCCTCTGTCATACCTTTCACATGAATACATGGAATGTAATAGCGCCGTTGGTCAATTTATGTGTCACATTGACATTGAGGGCCATTCATTGTATGATGAATGAATAGAGATATTGAATTGATTGTGATATAGCCGTGTTTGGTGAAAATTAAAATTCAGATTTTAATTTAAGTCAAAGTTAATAACTAATTTTAACCACAAATTTCATGAGATTCACAGTTTTTTAACTACACATTTTATCAACTCTTATCAGAATCTACTAAAAATCTGATTTAAACATGTACCAAATTCATCGTGCAATGAATAAATGGACCCTTCTTGTCACCTAGAGTTGTTCTAATTGCCAGCATTGCTACATAGCATTATTCATATATGATTTCTTTCAACTTGAGCCATGCTAGTTGTAAAACATCGGTTGACAACCACTCACATAGGGAGGTTCGCTTTTTTTTTTTTTTTAATTTTTTTTAACATGCGGACCCCAACACATGTGAGAAGTTGTCAACCGATGTTGTGCAAATAGAATTTTCCTTTCAACTTATGTGAGAAACACGATGACGACAATATTTAAATAAATTACATGTCTTCTTTTGACAACTTAACCTTTTAATAGACCAGATACATATGCATCTCACACTTAATGTGACACCTTACTAATCCGTCAAGACGATTAGGACATATAATTGAGTTGAAATTTGTAGTTAATGCCTCTACACATTTTCTTAGTGAATGAAAAGACTATTCAGGACACCAAACTTGAACTCAAGATAACTATTGAATATTGTAGGAAGATGACATTAAATAATTTTCATCTTAATCATTTAGAGATAAAAAACTAAAGAATTAAAGGAAGAATGAGCAAGATTCATGACAATTTTTGCTTAAAGTGAACAATAGCATAAACTGCAAGCAACAAATGCATGCTGTCTTTAAATAGCTTACATCCTTTACCTACCACAAAATAAAAACTCAGCAAAAAAAAAAAAACCAAAATTAAGAAACTAGCCCAGAATTCAGGAATTTATATACAAATTACAATTTAGTCCCTCAAACCCTAAAGCAGCCCATATGATGGTGGTGGTGGTGGTGGCTGAAGTTGTGCTCTTTGTCAATCAAACCTTGAACAGATCGAAATTCCTCGACATGGCAAGGAATAGTAATTGTGCCTTTTTGATCAAATCCATATTCTTCTTCAGCTTCTTTGAGCAACTGCATGAACAGTGGGTGATTGAAGTAAATTACAGGAATTACAAATCTCTGCTGCTCTTCCCCTTGCCCAACTATGACAGCCAAACACCCTTTTGGCACATCTCTCACTTGTTGCTTCTTTCCACAATTATGGTGATGGTGGTGGTGGTGGTGGAGCAGGTGGAGGTGTTTTTGCAGAATACTCTTTTCGCCGCCGGCGCCGCCCATATTCCCAGAAGGAAGAAAAAAAAATCAAGAAATGACAGTCCCTTGTTTTTTGCTGTGTTCAAAAGGTTACTGCTGTAGAAGAAGAGAGAAGGGTGTAGAGGAGTTCCCAAGGAACCTGGTAAGTTAAGTTAGTGAGAGCATAAACTGATGAGACTGTAATTATTTTTCGTAAGGAAAATGGATCAGATAGATTTCTCAAATATTTCCCGACGGAGAGATACATGTAGGTTATTTAAGTATTTATAGAATAAACTATCTGGCACCTGGATTTTTCTTTTACTATCTAGTAATTAAAATGAATTCTAATTTTATTGGACAATTAAGAAGGACCTTCACTTTCACTTGGAATTGGAGTCTAGATGGCTGAATGCAATAGGTCCGCTTAAATCTAATCAAATATAAAAACATAAAAGTTACTTAATGTTGTAGTACCACTGTTGTGTATATGCATCATTCTTTATTTGCAAAGGTGAGTATAGTGGATATAATTAGGAAAATGCTAAGTGTACATAATAAGTGTACACAATCTTTGACACAATGTGATGTGGCAACAATCCTGTGGTTGATGTGAAAGTGTCAGATTTGAATTAAAGGTTTTGATCAATGCCACTTGTAATTGTGTAGACCATTATGTAAACTATTAT